ATATTAATCTTCTCGATACGGGGATTGTGTGTTGTAAGAACGTGCAAGATTGAACGACGAAAAATTGTCGATACTTCAAACTGTTATATAATTTCGTAAAGAAAAATCATATAACGATCCACTTGGTTCCATTTCAAAGGATAAAGATCCTACTATTTTGTTCAGTTTCACAGGCAGGTGAGGAAGTAAGGATATTTCTGTTTTCTTGAATTTTAAAAATTCAAAGGTTTCTCTAAAAGCATTGAAAATTTTTCTCAGATCCACTGCCACCAGATCAGAAATTTTCTCTTTACAACCATCCCTTAAAACTTGTTCTGCGATATTTTCTTGAACGACGAGAATTCAAGACACTTTGAACAAAGAAAAAAATTATACAGCAAGTTTTCAATTTTAATCTTAAAAAAAAATTTTCAATATTTTTAGTGTCGAATTTCTAGAATTTCTTACAATTTACCTTACAATCAATAAAAATGTTCTCTCCCACACGCTGCATGATGTAAGAACATGTTTGAAAAGATGAACACAGGACTGTTAAAATTGAAGCTTCACTCTTTGAAAAATGAGAGCAAGTAGATTGTAAAGTTATAATAGCTTAAAATATACAACTTTTCATTCGTTATTCAGTTATTATAGTTTCTCAATCTATATTTTTCTCTTTTCTACAATAAATACATTAAAAAGTCAGAAAATCAACAAAAATGTACTCTGTTCACATTGCTATTCTTCTTCTCGCTCGATTTTCAATCCGCTTGTCATTCGTTTCTCGTCACGAAAGATCGAATTCGTCGAAATCGATGTCCGCGTTTCGGCGCCAGCCGGCCGAGCGAGCAAATTCCATAGCAAGTAATAACTCAATTATTGACTTATGACTTTAAACGGTTAGCGTTTCGTAGCGGACCACGTGCGTCGAATTCCGCGGCTTGAATACGCGTGCCATTCGATTTCGCAGACAATTCGTCGGGCGGGAAGAGAGGAGAAACAAGGGTGAAAAGAGAGGCGAGAGAGAGAGAGAG